AATGGACTTGCTTCCAAACTACATTCTTGATCTACTTCATGTGTACACACCGAGTCGCTGTCTTCGTTCTTTCCAATAAGAAGCTTCTCCATAACACTGACTACAGACAGAAAACATATGGTGGACGTGCTTCTCATATGCAGCTCCAAAACTCTGGAATGACCTTCCACTTGATCTTCGTGAAGTTACTGATGTCAATATTTTTAAAACGAGACTTAAGACCTACTTGTTCAGCAAAGCTACAGTGTGGAATAACTCTACAGATTTGTAGTGTTCGCATTCAGCGCCTTTGAACAAAACTTAGTTTTGGATACCGGCGCTATATAAGTTTTTTTTTAGATAGATAGATTTAGATAGTTATGAATTTCTCTATTGGGAGAAATTATATATATATATTACTAACCCGTTTCTCCCTTTGCTCCATTTCTACCAGGGCGTCCGGGAAATCCATCAAATCCTGATCCTCCTTTTAAGCCTGGCAATCCTGGAGGACCTCGTGGACCAGGAAAACCAGGGGGACCTGCGTCACCTTCAGAGTAAAGACATATAGAATGCTTACTTCGAAAAAATGATTAGAGAGCCACAGCAGTTGCATCATTCAACATTTTCCTTTTTTTTAAATACAGAAATTCTCCTCAATACCATATCCCACATAATTAATATACTGGCCATCTTCTTTTAATATATTCATTGTAAACTAATTTATAATCTACAGTAATAAAGCACGACGCATTAAATTGAATTTAAGACATAAGAAATGCCAAAATAGTTAAATGTTGCAGCTTGTACCAATTTTTGTTTACAAACCTTCACTGCCTTTGGCACCAACTGGTCCTAATAACCCATCCAATCCTGACAGTCCAGGCAAACCAGTAGTACCTTTAATATAAGCATACATATACCTTAAAGAGGCTGTTGCACAGCACCACAACACTATCAAATAAATAAAACTACTAAATGATCAGACAGATAAAAACACTATTTATTTGGTTGCCATCTGGAATATCATAATATATTGTGTCAACATTTGATTCCATATGTGCATTTATTTTTATAGAATTGTTTTGATAGTTTTGAATCAAATAGCCATGATTTATAGAATTGTTTTGATAGTTTTGAATCAAAAAGCCATGATTTATAGAATTGTTTTGATAGTTTTGAATCAAATAGCCATGATTTATAGAATTGTTTTGATAGTTTTGAATCAAAAAGCCATGATTTATAGAATTGTTTTGATAGTTTTGAATCAAATAGCCATGATTTTCCTTTGGCAAAACAGATCGTGATCAACATTTAAAGAAAATACAGTAAAAATTACATGTAAGTTTAAGTTTGTGAAATGTGACAAAACTAGACATTGGCACTAACCTTTCCTTCCTGGTCTTCCAGCAGAACCGGGTAAACCTGGGAGACCAATGCGTCCAGGAATTCCATCATATCCTTCATCACCCTTCATACCATTAGAGCCTGGGCTACCTGCATTAGAAAATGTTGTTTTTTATTTCAAATGTCTCAATTGAATGTTGTTGCAGAAGTTTATGGTCATTTTTCCATATTTACAGTCATTAATTTTATTAAGTAAGAAGGATCTATTTGAGAAATGGTTAAAGAAAAATAAAACTGACATGGCACCCAATTGGCTCTTTTAACTTTTAAATTGTGAACATAAATGTTCACCAGTAACTCATCAAAAACATGGCCACCACCATGCCTGAGAAATGGTTGATGATGAGTTAATTTATTGTGATTCTTTTTTGTTTTTACAAAAATGGCAGCCAGTCAATAAAATTTAAATGAAATCACAAAGAAAATCGAGAGAACATGCAACTCATAATGCCATGTAAAGAAACAATACAAGCATGACACCAAAATTGTTTTCAGTCATGTTTTTTTTTCGTACTAATTATTTGTTTCGTTCAGCACTGAATGAACTGAATTGAACTCAGATTGTGGCTCTCGTTCGGTCTGACTGTGTGAAGACATTGGAGATAATTTCCTGTTAATCTGTGGGAGGATTAGTAGTTCGGCTCCGATATAATGCATTTATAATGTTAAATACAAACGATATGCACCATAGTCAAGTAATAATCCTCTATTATTACTTACCGACCAGTCCCGGTGTTCCTGGCACACCTGGATCTCCGGAATTTGTCAAATTACCACCTTTAATAGGAACATCATCACCAGGAAAACCCTTCTCACCGATAGAACCAACTGGACCTTTTGGACCTGTGGGTCCAGGTAGACCAGGTCTACCAGGTTGTCCAGAAAACCCAGGTCTCCCTGAAAGAAATTAACACCATTAAATCTTAAAAATTACTAGCCGGTAATATTACATATTTGACAGTACATGTATATCACATCTTAGATAGAATAGAAATGAAGATGTCAGTAACATAAAAATACAGTTCATTAACTATCTCAAAAATGTGTTTATTTCCACTTGCTTTGTTTAGATACCTTTTGGTCCAATAAAACCTGGTCTTCCTGGAAATCCTGGCTGTCCTTTTAAACCTGGTCGACCCTGGAATAAACATAGCTCAACTATTACAACCTTGTCAATTGAGAACATAGATTCAAGGGGTGATGTCATTTTCAAATATCTGGGTCAAACCTGGGTTAACCCAGCCTGCCTTTTCCAGCCCTATTCAGACAAGCCCTTGCTCCATGTCGAACTGCATACCCAGAAAAACTAGGTTATTGGACGGTATAGGATTGGACTTAGGAATATTTATTAAAAAGCCCAACTCGTGGAGAAGCGTTTGCATTAATTACATGTGCTCCGCTAACGCCTCTCGTCTCAGTTGTGCAATAACCAGTCATTAAGGTATGGGTTCACCTGTTTTAACACCCTGGTGAAAATGTACAGCGCTGTGCACAAACCAAAAGGGAAGGCAGTAAACTCATAAACTTTGTCCTCTGAGGTGAATATGAGATACTGGCTGCAAGTGTGGTGAATGGGGATGTGGAAATGTGCCCAAATCCAGCGACACCTGCCAATAACCCTGACTAACATCGGTAGGGGAAAACAACAAGATCTGTATTTTCGTAATCAACCCGGGTTGCGTAAGCACCGATGAAGTCTCATGGATTGGAATAGCTCAGCCCCTGAGGGCTGTACCAATCCCACCTTGGTACTCGCCATTGATGTCATTGCCCCAGCAGGAACACGCTGTATACCGTTGCCCGTACCAGCGGTGGTTGGCAGCTCCTTTCCCCGGCAAGAGCGGTGGAGCTCAGAGGGTGTGAACAGGTTCAGTTTGAACCCGTTTTTATTCATGCGGCCGTCCTGGGACGCATCATCTATTGTCTATACTCTGAAACTGCAAAATTTTTTTTTTTTTCAGGTGGTTTGGGTTAATCAAGGTTTGACCCAACTGTTTGAATATGATATCACCCCTAAATAACAAATGCATGATTAACAATGCAATATCTTTTCATTGGCACTAGCTAGTATGAAAGTACTGAAACAATGCAATAATATTGAATTAAGCATTTTGTCATCACAGTTAGTTCAAATACAAAATGATCAGATTGAACTTTATCATTTATTTTAGATTCCTTATTACATACACCAATCTAGGATATTTCAAACAGTTAAAGCATTTACCGTAGCACCAGGAATGCCTGGAAATCCTATGATACCACTGCTACCTTTCGAACCTGGAAGTCCTGGAATACCTGGTCGGCCATTCAAACCATTATCACCATCTGGTCCTGCCAGTCCTGGACGGCCAGGATTGCCAGGATAACCATTCTCTCCAACCATTCCAGATGCGCCAGGTAAACCTGAAATAATTCATTTGAAAAATTAATTTACAATAAAATCCACAGACCTGTGAACATTTTATTCCTGTCTAGATTGGGATTGAAAGCTGCATGCAAGCAAGTGTATTATATTTAATATACTGTATTTGACTTAATCATGTATAACAAAGTTCACAGCATTTGCATGAATAATAATACAAGTTTACCTGGAAGTCCAATTCTCCCTGGTGGACCAGTTCTTCCAACAGAACCTGGTTCACCCTTCACCATGTCTCCAAATAATATACCACGCTCACCAATGGGACCAGTTGGACCTCTGTCACCAACAGCTCCTTTGCGACCTGAAAATTGAGGAGAGTTACATGAATCATTGGTTTCTGATTTTCCTATATACATGCAGTAACTAAAAATAAAGTAAGAAAAGTAAAAAACCTAGTTGATGACTAGTACCACAACAAGGGTGGTGCACTTGACTGTTATGCCTCTGTATGACAGAGTAGTGCATTTTGGGTAAAAATAATTTAACAAATTAGCAATGTTGAAGGGCGGGCGATATTTGTGATAAATATTTATTTTCCCACAATCCAGTGCACTTTCTAATTGAAATCACAAGTATGAGGTTTGACCTGGGCGTGGTTTGCACTAATTACCATCGGTGACTCCTTCGATACCTTTCAGTCACCTAAAAATACCTAATTAAAGCTTAGTAACATCACAGTTTGTACTCGTTGGTCTGCGCAATAGTCAAAGTCGCCATCTTTGTTTATATGAGACCCATATATCTTGCGCAAGCGTGGGGTGGCGACTACCGCCATTTAATTACTATTATTCTTAGGATTTTTGATTTATAAAAGATGAAATAAGTTCAAATATACTGGTATTTATATTAAATTAGTACAAGTAAAATATGTTTACTGATTATTATTAATTTTGTAGTGAAATCTTACCAGGTGTTCCCGGATTACCCGAAAAACCAGGTAATCCTTCTCTACCAGGGCCACCTTTTTCTCCTTTGAAACCATCAAATCCTGGCCTACCAGGCAACCCAGCTTGTCCAGGGAAACCAATAACACCAGCATCACCAATATCTCCTGTTACACACATAGGGGATTAAGCAAGAGCTCGTAAATAATATAAATACCAATAAAACGATTGTGTCATGACATGATACAGTAACCATTGCTCTATCGTAAACAAAACTGAAATGAGTCAGCCATTTTGAATCAGAATTTGAAATAAACATATGTGGGATATGTAACATGATGTGTAATATAAGTATAAAATTTGATTGCAATCAGTCAAGGCATGTCTTAATTATGGCTGTGGAACAGTATGCTGTTAATAATGTGTGTAATTAAGAACATTTTGAATCCCAGCTGACATGGATCAAAGTCCTATTATATTCAACATGTATACAAAGTCGAAACTGTCCATGTATGATCAAACGATAGGCTAAGAATGGCAGAAATGCATGATTTTTATGCAATTTAAACATTAAAATTGTGGTTGTTTGGTCATCTTGAATTGAATCTTCATAAAAAAAACATATGCCTAAGAGTGGAGCGATATATGTGTAAGGCAATGTCAGATATACAACTTAAATAAAATGGCGATTAGTCGGCCATTTTGAATTCATTCAGAAAAACAAAAAATAAGGTGCATCAGGTCCTACTATTTTCAATCTATAAATCAAACAACAAATCTGACAATTAACGGTATTTGATGTTTTCATATAAATACAAAAATATATATGCACTAACTTTGAGTTATCATATATTTATTACCTTTGCTGCCTGGTAACCCAGGGAATCCATCACTTCCTGGTAAACCTGGTACACCAGGTCTTCCTGGAATACCATCAAATCCATCTGGACCTGGTTCTCCTGGTTGACCTTTACCCATTTTAGCACCTGGCTCACCTGGTTCCCCAATATCACCCGTGAATCCTGGAAAACCTGAAAAGTAATATGTATTACTCGAGGCTGCCTTATATTAGTTTCAAGTTTACCGATACACAAAATTTTGCCAAGTTACCATAACAACATTACTGGTCAGAATATGTTCTTTACACATGCCTGTAACAGGTCTTAGAGACTTGTGGGTCATGGGGTCTGAATGAAAATTTAAACAGCCAGGTTGAATTTTCCACGAAGCTCCATCATAACATTTGTTGGGTCTATGTGCAAAATTAATATTTATCACAAAAATAAAGAAAATGTCTTTGTTAAACATACTGCACAAAAAAGTATCAAGCATTTGTAGATTTCTTTAGTTATTAAATCAGCAATTACCATAATAGCTCTAACAGAAGCAACCATATAAACATTAATATATCATTTATTTTGACGATATGGTAAACACATGTTTGTCATTTTGAAAGTGCTAGGAGTAAATGGATGTATTGAATATTAACAGTAAAGCTCTCAGCACAATGTCTTTGGAACTGAATCCATGGTTACAAATAACAGCATCAACTTTTAAAACTAAGCAAGATTAAATGTAAATATTAATTTTTACATTAAAGTTGTATTATCTGTCTTTAACATTTGTAGTAAAATGAAATAGAATCAGTTATGTGTGTCAGATTAAATTCTGACATGCAGCATGGTTTGGAATCTTGGAACAAATGAAATGTTCTATGTTGGACATTTGCTTGGATGCAGTTGAAATGGATGCATTATGTCATAAAACATGTATAAGGTTAGAAAGAACATTACATAAGAAGCGTGTACTCAAACAAATCCCCTGATGACAATATATATATGGCAAATTTCAATAAAAAAGTTTACCTTTTAAACCAGGCAGTCCAACTCGCCCAGTTCCTCCAGGGCGACCAATTGGTCCAGGTAGACCAGTTTGACCTTTTGGCCCTGGACCATTACCAGGAGGACCAATAAGACCTATGTCACCAGTTTCACCTTTACTACCAGTGGAACCAGGATATCCAACACGTCCTGATAAATATTGAACAAAATGTCAATTGGTGAATGCTATAGCCTTAAATTCATGTCCGGGTCTAATATAAATAATCAAAATCTGGTTTACATTTATTGGATGGCAACACATGAGTGAAAAGACACGTGTCTAATTCTTGGGAGTACACCAGCGTTGGATTCGACCGTGTTACACAGGTGTAAAGAGGCCTAAAAATGGCAAGGTTCAAAACCCCGAAGGAGAGAGAGAAGTATCAGCATCAGCATAACTATTATGTAACACTTACGTCAGCATAATAACAAATGTAGACACTTAATAGAGCTTAAACACAATCTCTTGGGTTTATAGGTTCCATGTTGGCCTAAACTGAATTTGAGTACTGTCATTATTATATATGGTCAAACCACCTTTGTACACGTTTGCTAGTAGCAGCCATATTTAAGCCAACTGCATGAAATGATGATGTAAACGCAATATTATGAGTAGGTAGTAATGGGCACAATGAATGCTGACACAAATGTTTTTCTAGCAAGGACACGATAATAGCGCTCAGCAGAATTTAAACTCCTGTGTCAACTCTCAGATTTACAATTCAATAGTACCTGGTAAACCAAAAAACAAATCCAGATCACACCCAGCACAGACTATTATTATGTTTACCTAGGTGTATGGTACCTATATTTTTTATAATGCTGGCCATGCTGTATTTCTCATCAGTATACTAAATGTGATTTGTGTTAGCCCTTGTGAAACTGAAATGCTGATTTATTTTTGTTGAATAGGGTGCTAAAAATACTACTCAATAACACATAAACTGAGTGTCTATCAAGTTTTGAAGTGTTAGTCATAAAATTCTACTGTGGCATACACAGGAACTAATAAATAACATTTTTTGAACATCACAGAAAAAACTATAACACATGTTGAATTAGCTGCATGTCATTTTAGCGAAATTGGCTCAAAGGATGAATTAACAGCTTCATAATAGTGCTGAAGTGCCAACAATCTCATTGCGAGAATATACTTTGAGATTATACTTGAATTAGCAAAATTATAGATTTGCTAAATTAGCTGAAATAATATGCTACCTGAACAGACATGTTTTACAGTATTAGTATATTAAGATTACCTTTTAATCCTGGAAAACCAACATTGCCTTTACTACCATCTGGTCCATCTGGTCCAGGAAAACCCTTTGGTCCAGGCTGCCCTTTTCCGCCAGCACCACCGAAAGTGTCACCAGGTTCACCTTTTATACCATCTGGTCCAGGAAATCCTGGAAAACCTGGACGTCCACTATCTCCTATTTGACCAGTCAAACCATTTTGTCCTTTGTCACCTCGCATACCAGTCACACCTGGATAATAAAATAGGCAATATTTACATCAGGTGTCCTTGCAATTGATTGCATGACATTATGTAATATAGTTTTCTTCCTCACAGTAAACTTGTTACAAAATAAAAAGAATAGCATACCTGGAAGTCCAGGTCCACCGGGTAGTCCAGGGAAACCAGTCAAACCTTTATTACCCTTTGGACCATCTGGACCAATTGGTCCAAGTGGTCCTGGTCCACCTCTTGCTCCTATGGGTCCCTGTGGACCAGAGCGTCCAGGTGGGCCACCAGGACCAGCAGGACCTGGGATACCATTCATATAATCTGGCATTGTACCTGAAAATATAACAATGTAATTTATTAATAAGTAATAAAAATATGACAAATTTTAAGTAATAATAAGTACATAAACACTGCAACATAAACATCAAAGTGGGGAAATAAATAACCTTAGAATTTGTATGCCCATTTTATTCAAATATGGCAACTCCTGTGTTTAGATCTTATCACTGATAAGAATAAGTGTTACAGTTACTCAAGTTTTGGATTCATCAACTCCACTTATCCTTATGTCATGAAATGATCTCATCTAATAGAGGTCCAACTAAGATACATGTACATATATACCAAGTATCAATTCAATCAAACTAGCAGTCATCAAGTGAAAGTTAAAAATAGCTTTTTCATCAAAATTATAAAAATAGGAGTAATATGACTATTAAAATTAATTTTATAATAATAAAATTAACACAATTAGATATAATGAAGAACCATGACAATTCATAAGTAATTAGATGTACCTTGTTCTCCTTTATCTCCTTTATATCCTACTGGTCCATTTGATCCTGGTTCACCCATTGCACCTTTGAAACCAGGTGCACCAACAAAACTGTCTCCGGGTGGTCCTGGAAGTCCAGGTGGTCCCTAATACATAATCATAGACAGTTTTAGAAAGACCTGCTGTTTTGAAAAGCACTAGAGCTAATTATCAAAGAGAATATAACAGATATATCCAAAAAATCAAAAATTCATTAAGGTGGAGAGGAAAAGCAAGAAATAGTGTAACTGCAATGAGAGCATTCTTCGCCAGTTACTTGTCATGCAACTATGACAATATCTGAAAGCTGAGATATAGATGAAAACAGTGTTTGTATTAATATTTTATTGGAAATTAAGTTACAAAAGTTCATGTGAACCTTAATAAAAAATAGATTAGCTACTTCTTGCTGTTCATTCATTGTATGTTTTTGATTTTTTCACTGTTACCTCATAAGATAATAATCTTAGAAAGTAGGTCTTAGAAATGTTATGTTTCCTTTGTTCTGATGATATAGGACCGTCATTTTGTGCCCTTAACTCAAAATCAAATCATCTTATTAAATAAACTGAAACTCAACATTAAACAAGGATATTGGAAGCAATGATTAAAGGCATGAAATAAATCAAAGAAAACTTAGAAAGAACTCCCGTGTGCTGAGAGTATTGGAGACACATTCAAAATTAATTCAAAATTACTTGAACTTGAGATGTTGATGGAAACGCAGAAAACTAATTATGCAAATTAGGTAACTAATATGAACAGATTTAAGTGTAAAACTAATAAGGTCTGCACAATGTAAAGTTTCATTGAAATGTGATTAGAACCAAAATAATATTATTATGCTAATTAGAGAATTAATATGAACAGATTTTAACCCAAAATTAATCAGGCTGTCTATTGTCCTAGAGCACTTATGTACCAAGTTTTATTCAAATGTGATGATCAATACTTGAGATATCAGTATTAATTAATTATATTAATTAGGTGATTAAGAAGCATAAATATTTACCAAAAACTAATATGGTGTATAGTCCTAGGTTCATTGAAATGTGATGGGTACTCTTTAAAAGTTTCATTGAAATCCAATGAGTGGCTTTTAGACATCAGTGCAACAGCCATAGAACAGCAAAAAAATTAAGTAATTATGCAAATTAGGTAATTAATAGGCACAATTATTTATCCCAAAATTAATCAGGTCTCTGCAGTCCTAGAATATCTATGTAACAA